AGGCGTTACTGAGACTTTTAATTGGCTTCTTGTCCGGAAATCCACCTGGACAAAACCATTCTCAGCCCCAGGGGCTGGCCAGCTGGGCAAAACCACGACAGTGTTCAGCAAAGGCTTAGGAGGGAAAGATGGTGAGACATCCAATAGCAAACCAGTGCTTTTACAGCACTACATGTAGCTCTACATAGTAGAAATACACATGGTTATAAAATAAATTATACATTAGAATCATACTGTCACGAACTGTTACAGTTGTCCTAAGTTCTGACCTTCTAGGGAAACTTCTAAAATAAACACAATTATTTGGCTGTACAAACACATACACAAAATATTTTCCAAAATTACATGTTTAATTATAGTAATTGCCTGTGTTTGTTTCTTCTGAAAAAGGAAATGCAAACCAAAACCAAAATTTCCAAAACATTTTTTTTCTCTTTAGGTGGGTAGTTCGTATTTAGATGCTGTGCTGCATTTGGTTCCCAATAAAAGTTTAAATTTTACACTACTTTAAACTCACATATCAGGGGTTTTGTGTTCTGACATAGACATAGTGGAGTCCTTTCAATCTTCCAGTCATTGACATTTCATATATGAATCTTTTATTTACCATTACCTGGGGCTGGGGTTGTAAAATTCTGATGATCGACGTGTTCTTTGCTGTTTTCATTTACTAGCTGCACAATCACATTTTGTTCTTTGCCAACACAGTACTACTCTTATCCTTTAATATCAGTAGGCCATAATTACATGTATCCCTTGGTAATAGCATATTGTCTAGGAGAAGACATAAAGTGTCTCTGTATGTGGTAGCTTTTCGTGGAAAGGAAGTGTGTTGCAGAAAAAAAATAAAAAGGGCAGCATAGTTGTATTGTTATCTTGTAAAAAGTTCAGTTCCTTGGACAAATTGTATTCTGTTTCACAGAGTGAATCACACACTGGGTAAAGTTGGAAGGGACTGCAGTGGTCATCTGGTCCAAGCTGCCTGCTCAAGCGGGCCATCGTAGAGCACATGGCACAGGATTGCATCCATATGGTTCTTGAATATCCCCAAGTGAGGGAGATTCCACAACCTCTCTGGGCAATCTGGTCAGTGCTCAGTCACCTGTACAGTAAAGAAGTTTTTCCTCTTTGAGATGTGGTATCATCCACCTAATGCTTTCCTTGCTTTTTCTGTTGAAAATAATAGTGGGAAAATTTAATAGAAATGTTTGTAAACTGTGGTGGCAGTAAGGTGGCAGAAAAAGACTGGAAATAAGTTGAATCCCCACCTATGTGTAATTCAGGTTAACCATTCCAGTTACATAGTGTTTAGCACATGTTGTCAAAAGTCAAATATCTAGCTATAAAGGGAGGGGAAAAACACAACCCACTAACACTTTTTTTCCCTAAAGATGCAGATGCAGTCACACATTGCATTCATCATAGTATGAAAACCTCAATAGCTTAGAGCTCATAGCATGTCATTAGTTTTTACCTTTGTGAGTAGTCACAAAAGCCTGTAAATCATTAGCAGGATTAGAACAAACCAAAAAGTTCATGACAAAAATAGAGCCATGCACAGTATCTAGGAAAATATTGTATGTGTAAGTACATCTTCCACTGGAATTAATTTTTCCTCTCTCCTCTGCACAGCACAGAGGATCAGTCATTAAACTTTTCCTAGAATTTTATTTCCTTAACATTGCAGATAAATTGATTTATAAAATGTTTAATTGTCTAATCCAACACATGCCTATTGTGCTTTTCTTGTTAAATTAAAAGGTTGGATGAATGCTAAAGTGTCTGAAAATTAATGTTTGCTGGACTTTCAACTCCAGTGTTTGCCAAGTAGACGTATACCGACATTAATGTGTTCTGAGATTCAAGCAGATGCTAAACAATTTTCATTCCACTGCAGTGAATTCTGTTATGTTATTCTTTTATTTCAGTTTATTTATGAGCAGTCCATGTAATCCTTGTTTGTAGTTTGGTATTTTTTATATTTTAAGATGTTTCAGAGTGTTGCACTTCTGTTCTAGTTAACTAATATGCTTAACCATATTATGACTACATGTTATTCACTGTATTTATTGATGTTTCAGGCACTTAAATAATCCATAAATTTCTTTCTTCAGAAAAAGAAGGTGTCTTTCTACAAACGAGCACAAATACTTGTGGCTGATACATGGAGTGTATTAGAAGGCAAAGGAGATGGCTCTTTTGATGATATATCTAGTCTAACAATATTCGCAGACTATAGGATTCCTCAAGTTCTTGTTCACTTAAAAGCAATGAAGTATTCTGAAGAATTAATGAAGAAACTACGTGAAGGTTTGTTTTGCTTTTATTAATAATAAGTAATCTTGATATGGTAGACTAAAGCTAGTTCTAAAATGTAATGTTTTGTTCATGTAAGGGTTATGTATATTTTTTTCCTCCAAGGAACAAGGATTTCTTATGTAGTGATGAGGTAACAGGAAGGAACTTTTTCCCTAACAGTGATCTTGAATGAGGTTTTAAGGTTTCTTTCTATAGAGACTTAACTGTTCTGTAGATTAAACATTGATAAAGGAGGGATTAAAGAAACTCTAAGCTAGTTGATTTCCAAGTTTTTGAAGGGCTAAAACCCTCTTTCAGCACGAGAATGGTAGTGATTTTTGAGGTTTACATAAAAGAAGCAATGATTTCTTCTTTAATTCAAAGGCAAATGTAAAAGCATGGGAATTCCTGTTTATTTGTACTGAACTTCTAGTTAACAAGCAAAGCAATATTATAAGGGTCCATTAAAAAAATACTGCATTAAGTGAATTTAATTGCATATAACTAGGCTCTTGTTTTTTAAGCATGGTTCCAACTTCCAGTACTTATTAAGCATGTTCTTTTGTGAATCCAAAAAATAAGCCAATCCATTTTCCACTTTAAAATGACTGTATTTAGGATAAGGCTGCTGTTATGCAATTGTAGAATTACTCAGCAAGATAAACAGATGAATGCAGCTGTCCATGGATCTTAATAGAATCGCCATATGTATATATACGTCTATGTGTGTATCTGTATATTAAGTAGACTAGGTGGGCATTTTCTCTTTCCATGAATCCTAATGAGAACATTCCCATTCAAGTCATACCAATGGTTCTCTTTACATTAGGTTTTGGGGGGGGGTATTTGTTTTTAATTTTAAAATCTTAGAGTTACCCTGGCAGAAAATAAACTATAAAATATAGTAACTATATACTAAAAGGTATACTTAATAAAAGACTTTCCTTTTTGTCTCCACAAGCAAAGAAATGGTCATATGATGTGTAGTATAGCCTCTTCTGTTACTTTAATTGAATGGGAGGTAAACTTCTAAGTGCATATGGTAAAATTAAAGTAATCATTAGAAAATTATTGTTAACAGTTACAGTGTAAGTCATGACAACTGGATTCTTGAACAGAATAAATATGAAGGGGGGAAAAAAGCAAATTCAGGCAGTCCTTGTCTTTCTATCTCTTGTGTGTAAATGTATTGCTGTCTCTTGTGTCTACAGGAACACTTTTCCAGTCTGGAGACAAAGAGGAGGTGGAGATCCGTGGCTGTTCTATTTGGTGTTGTGCATTGATTTGTAAGCACCTACAGGAGCTCTATCAGAAGAAGGGTCAGGACATGCGTGAAAAGATCAATGCAGTTTTACTTGATTATTATCTTTGGGACTATGCCAGGGACCACAGGGAAGACATGAAAGATATTCCGTTTCACCGAGTACGGTGTATATATTACTAAATCCAGTCTGATAGCTGTGGTATTGTTGCATTATCTTTTGAGCTGCAGTTTTGCTTTTCATACAGTGGTTTTTCACACACTAACTTGGAGCTGGTTAAATCAAATATTTGTTTTCCGGTGATGTATTAACAAGTGTCTTTTATTTTTTTTTCCTTTTTTTTTTCCCCTTTTCTCTTAATCTTTTGCTTGTCCTGACTGGAATAAACAGTGTAAACTTTGCCAGATAGCCCATGTTTATGCAGGGTTTATTAGTCCTGCTTCGAGCTCTGTATATGTGTATGTACCTGCCTGTGTGTGCATACCTGGTGGTGCATCTCGGCTCCCCTGGCTGGTGCCCTGTGCCGGCCCATTCCCTCTCACACCTGTGTGGAGGTGGCAGGTGCTTGACACACGTTCAGAGGTGAAAGAGGGACTGGCCCATTCATCCAATAAATACTGCGGTGACCGATGTGGCACAGTGTGTGTCTGTGTTTTCACTGGTGTGGGCAGCCCCTGGGAAAATGGGGGGGTAGGGGCTCACTTGCTGCAGGGGGGGGAAGGAGGGAAAGAATCAGAAAATCATTTACATTGGAAAAGACATCTGAGATCATCGACTCCAACCTATGACTGAACACCATGTCAACTAGAACATGGCACTAAGTGCCATAACCAGTCTTGCTTTAAACACCTCCAGGGACTGTGACTCCACCACCTCCCTGGGCAGCCCATTCCAATGCCCAGTCACCTTTTCTGTGAAGTTCTTCCTAATGTTCAACCTAAACCTCCCCTGATACAGCTTAAGATTCTGTCCTCTTGTTCTACTGCTAATTACCTGGGAGAAGAGGTGATACCTACCTTGCTACAACCTCCTTCCAGGTACTTATAGAGAATGGTAAGGTCACCTCTGAGCCTCCTCCAAGCTAAACACCCTCAGCTCCCTCAGCCGCTCCCGTAGGACTTGTGCTCCAGACCCTTTGCCCAGCTTCGCTGCTCGTCTCTGGACACGCTCCAGGACATCAAAGTGCTTACTGACCGAAGGGGCCCAAAACTGGGCAAGGAGGGAGGGAGGCAGGCAGGCAGTGGAGCGCTGCCAGTGGCGCCCGTGGCGGCCCGTCCGTGCCCGGCTCCTCCGGCCGCTGGGGGCGGTGGCGGCGCGGGCGGTGCCGACATGGCGCCGTTGCCTAGCAAGGGGCCGCAAACAGCGCGCGGAGCGCGGCCCGCCCGTCCCGCCGGCCCGGCCGCCGCTGCCGCCCTGCTCTCGCCCGCCCTCCCGCCGCACCGGCCCGGCGGCACGGCCACACGCGGCGGCAGCCAGGGGACGGCGAGCTCCGCGGCCCTTGGCGGCTCCCGACACCCAGGCGTGATCCCGTTCCCGGCTCCTTCTCAGGTTTGGAGAGGCGGCAAACACGGAGAATGTTCTGGGCCGCCCTCACAGCATCCCGGCAGTGTGTTTGCTCCTGCGCTATGGCAGGCACTCGAAGGCAAACGATGCATCCACACAGCCACACAGCCACAGTATCTCTGTGGCTTTGGCATATTGGGAATATGAAATATTCCCACATTCTTTTATAAAATAGAATCCCGTGAAATAGGGTTTCCCTCCCACGTATGTGCTTAAAGATGGAGATTAAAATCAGAGGAATGCTTTACATGTAGTAACTAGATACATTAAAATCACACTTCATTCACAGGTAGCACAACTTCTTTCTCTATGCGTGTGGAGTTACAAGTGTTTGGTGCTTCATAAGTGGAAGAGAGTTTTAAAACTCAGGTGTATACATACAACTTTTGGAGTAAAAGGTTCTGTTCAACTGATTTATGGTGCCTATGCAGTATGAATGCAGGAATAGGAAAGTGAGAGGATTCATTACAAGCATTTTCTTTATCAACAGTGTCTATTAACAAGCTCGTACAATATCGTTGCTTCATATGGCTGTGTTATGTTCAAATAGAAAATCAGGCAACTCTCAGACTTAAGTCTGCTAGCTTGGAAATTAACAGATTAAACAGTTACTTGTAGAGCTACCTTTTTATCGGGTATTTTTCAAGATTGTAATGGCACTTACTTTAAGAAATGTCAACTTTCTATTTCAGGAAATTAATTCTTATTTATTATATAATGTGGAAAACTTTTTTTTCTTAGTTGCAGACAACTGAGAATAATGTGAACAAAGCAGTAGTAAGAGATTTCTTGCTGACTATGTGAACACTGAGTGGGAAGCACAGGGCTGGAGTCTGGCATGGAGGAGATCCCAGTTAAAGTTGCAGTCCGAGTCAGACCTCTGCTTTCCAAAGAAATACTTCATAACCACCAAGTGTGTGTCAGATTAGTCCCAAATGCAAAACAAATTATCATTGGAAAGGACCATGTCTTCACTTTTGATTTTGTATTTGGCAAAAGCTCAACCCAAGAAGAAGTTTATACTGTTTGCATTAAGCCTCTTCTAGTGTCTCTGACTGAGGGATACAATGCTACAGTGTTTGCATATGGACAGACTGGTTCTGGGAAGACTTACACCATCGGCGGTGACCACATTGGTAGGTTATTTTTTTAAACTGGTCAACAGTGTGTTTGTGCAAGTTAAATGTTTACTACACAGTAGATGATGTGGTGGAATTTTAAGGGTTAATGAAAAAAAGGTGTAGTAAGAAAAAAACCTTCCAAATTTATGTGATTATTTTATGTGATTAATTACACTGTTCTAAAGCCTTATCCATAAATTAGGCTATATCAAAAATATCTAAGAAAAAAAAATTGCTCTTTCATACTCCACATTTTAAAATGCAACTTAAACTAGAATTTGTTTCTGAAATGCAGTGTTTTTCGAGTTTTTCCTGTGTTTATCTTACCTTGAAAATTCATGCATTAGGTACTTAATTGTTTGCTTGCTCACTCTGTGTTGCCTTTGTTTGTTTGGGTTTTTTTAAGAGACATTTCTGTGACATCAAAGAAATTTATTTAATTGATTTAATTCTTCCAAGTGGATATAAATAGATTATTCTGAATCTCTTGCTGGGTATTAAAATTTTCCTTTTATTTAGAGTGATAGAACCACACAATCATTTAGATTGGAAAAGACCCGTAAGACCATAAAGTCCAGCCATTAACCCATCACCACTAAGTCCACAATTAAGCCTGTTTCAATGATTGATCACTCTTTCCATGGAGAAATTTTTTCTAATATCCAATCTAAAGCTTCCCCTGGTGCACATTGAGGCTATTTCCTCTTGTCCTGTCACTTGTTACCTGGGAGAAGAGGCTGACCCCCACCTGGCTACATCCTCCCTACAGGTGGTTTGTAGAGAGCAATAAGGTCACCTCTGAGCCTCTTTTTCTCCAAACTAAATCACCCCAGCTCCCTCAGCCACTCCTCACAGGACTTGTGCTCCAGTCCCTTCACCAGCCTTGCTGCCTTTCTCTAAACATGCTCCAGCACCTCAATGTCTTCCTTGAAGTGAGGGCCCCAGAACGGAACACAGAATTTGCCGTGTGGCCTCACCAGTGCCGAGTACAGAGGGACGATCCCTGCCTTGGTCCTGCTGGCCACACTATTGCTGATACAAGCCTTCTTGGCCACCTGGGCACTGCTGACTCATGTTCAGCTGCTCTCAACCTTTTCTGCCAGGCAGCTTTCCAGCTACAAGCTGGGGTAAGAACAGCTGGATGGTGATGTTGTGACTCGAGGGCCAGACCTGGCACTGGGCCTTGTTGAACTTCGTACCATTGTCTTCTTTATTCTGCTTACTGTTGTAACATCATTTGTATTCCCTCCATTAGCAGTTATTTAATGTTCCTCTAAGTAGCATTGCTAGCCAAATTGTTTAGGTAGTGAGTGCCACAATCTAAGGCTGTTCATAGCTCAGGAATGACAGCCTTTTAGTTTTACAAATATATTTACTAAATTCATAGTTACATATGACCAACCCTTTAGATTTTTGGTGAAAAAATTCTTGGTATCATCTCATAGTTTCCATATTCTTGAATAAAGAACACAAATTAATAATGGAAGCATTGCCCTACTCTGAATACTTAAAAGACAAAAATAGAGTTTGGTGTTAGTGTTCCATGTCTACTTGGAAAAAATAGGAAATTACTGTAAATATGGGTAATAAATTTTGTCTCACCAAGGTACTGATGATTTTTTTTTTTATTTAAGTAGAATTTATAGTTTCTCAAACCCTTGAGATCTTGTCACTGCCAACCCTAATGAGTAAGGATAAAGAAGAAATCTGTACTCTAAGGAGTATAGCTTTAAAACAGACTCCATATTTGTCATAACTTTCAGGACTATAACATGTAATTTAGAACTTAACTTTGCATCCTAATAATGGATGTAAACAAATACTCTGCCCCACAGAAAAAATAAATATTTACAAAAATCCTTGTGAACACTGTGCTTTTCAGAGTTTTTTAGAATCACAGAATCATAGAATCAGCCAGGTTGGAAAGACCTCTGAGATCAAGTCCAACCCTTGATCTAACACTGCCATGGTTACTAGACCATGGCACTGACTGCCACATCCAGTCTCATCTTAAAAACCTCTAGGGACCGTGAATCAACCACCTCCCTGGGCAGCCCATTCCAATGCCTGATTACTCTCCCTGTAAAAAATTTCTTCCTAATATCCAACCTAAACCTCCCCTGGCAGAGCATGAGACCATGCCCTATTGTCTTACTGATAGTTGCCTGGGAAAAGAGACCGACCCCAACCTGGCTACAACCTCCTCTCAGGTTGTTGTAGAGAGTGATGAGGTCTCCCCTGAGCCTCCTGTTCTCCAGGCTAAACACCACCAGCTCCCTCAGTCTCTCTTCATAGAACTTGTGTTCTAGAATGTTGAGACCAAATCTCTCAGACTTCTCTCAATTTTCAGTCCTTGTAATTTATGTGACAGAATAACTGGAAGCCTCTGTGACATTTGTGCTTGTATTTTAGCATCAGTTGCAGTGGATGAAAAAGGCATAATCCCACGAGCTATTCAGGAATTATTTCAGCATATTTCTGAAAACCGTAATATTAACTTCTATGTGAAAGTATCTTATATAGAGGTATACAAGGAAGAACTTCGAGATTTGTTGGAGCTGGAGACCTCTGTGAAAGAATTACATATCCGAGAAGATGAGAAGGGAAATACAGGTAGGATTTCAGCTCTAAAATTTGATATGTTGGGTTTCAGATGTCTCTCCAAGTTATTCTTGCCTTCTCATGAAATGCTCATTCATTACTAATGCTAATAGTTCAAGTTTCAGAATATAAAGTCAATTTAACTTATTTGAAGCAGTTTTGAGGTTTGATACTTGTGTGTAATACAGATGTATCTATGTGGATGGGAATGGCAACAAATGATAAAGTAAATTTGCAACTATTGCTTCTGCAAATTTTGTCAAGAAATAGTGTGTGATTGTTCACTGGAATAAGTATTTTAAGATTAAACCATTGCTTCTCCCTTCAAAGTTGTAATTGTTAACACCCCTTTATTGTAAATATCTGCCCTCTTTTCACTATAAAATGAGTGGAAGAGACCTCTTCATTAAGAGGAGTAGGTATTTTTGTAGTAGTAGATATTTTTGGAGGCTTTGAGATTAACGCCCTTTAGATACCTTTTTCATCACAGGAAAATGCTAGACAAATCCGCATCAGAGATAGTTTATTCTCAAACTGTATTATCTGTTTTAGGTTTGGCTTTTGTTTGTTTGTTTATATTTTAATTGTTGTGTTTACTGATGTTATATTGTTTTTCTGAGCTTCACGGTTTTCTTGTCTGTAACTGGAAGAAGGCACTAATTTAGCACAAATCTTGCAGACAATGTAATTGCTTCAAAATGATCCCACACTACATGTTACCGTATTTCTCTTCTTCAGTACAGTTTGAGTCAGCTTCAATAGACTGTGCTAGGACATTTTCCATCATTAATTTAAAGAAAAATATGACAAAAAATATGGTCGGTAGGAGTATTTGGTAGAAGTACACTTCTACTTTGTTAGGTTGCTGGCAGATACCTATCCCAAAGACCCAACTATCCAAGCTATTTAGGATAGACATTCTTTTCTTACCACAGGCCAGGAATCATTTTTACTAAAAATCTTATTGGTTTTAGTATTATTTCTTTTTTAAACTGGCAAAATATCCTTTGAGCTGACTTTGGTCATACTTTTTCCAGCTAGCACTAGACTGTGAATTGTGTAAGGCAATGTGCAATGTGTAAATGAGTCGTGTCTTGTGTCTAAGATACTATTTCAAATGCTATGACACAATTAAATATATCCATATATTAAATATCTGCAGGGTTCAGATGTGTTGCACCTCATGCTTTTCACATATTGGTGTCTTCTTTTTCTATAGCTATATGCTATGACCTCCTAATAATGCAGGAGGCTTGTATGTTTCTCTAATATGTATTTATAGTTATTACTGTAAACTCTTGCTGAAGACTTTAGAATTAATTGGATTATTCTTGCTTTCACCTGTTTCGGTGTTTGAAGTGATTGTTGGCGCTAAAGAATTCCAAGTAGAATGTGCAGATGAAGTGATAAGCCTGCTGGAAAGTGGCAATGCAGCTCGTCACACAGGCACAACACAGATGAATGAGCACTCTAGTCGATCTCATGCCATTTTTACCATCAGTATTTGTCAGAAGCAATATGCAGAGTCTCAAAAAAATACTGACGCTGCACGGGATTTGATTGCTTCGAAGTTTCATTTTGTGGATTTGGCAGGATCAGAGAGGGTAGCAAAAACTGGAAATACTGGTGAACGCTTCAAAGAATCAATTCAGATCAACAGTGGTCTCTTGGCCTTGGGAAATGTCATCAGTGCCCTTGGAGACCCAAAAAGGAAAAGTGTACATATTCCATACAGGGATGCTAAAATCACTCGTATTTTGAAGGACTCCCTTGGAGGAAATGCCAAGACTGTTATGATAACATGTATAAGTCCATCCTCACTGGACTTTGATGAATCTTTAAATTCCCTTAAATATGCCAACAGAGCCAAAAACATTAGAAATAAACCGGTAGTAAATTACAACCCTGAAAAATGCCGGATTGATGAAATGGAACTTGAAATCAGATTGCTTCGGGACGCTTTGCAGAACCAGCAGGGCAGTAATCAGTATTTACACAACTTAAATGAAGAAAAACCTCATATCAGTTCACTCGAGGAGCAGCTCACCCGTCTTCAGGCTCAATATTTCAGTTACAGAAATTGTGTAGATGAAGCCTTCCGCTTTCTACTTGATTTGAATGATGACGTTAGCTTAAGAAGAAGTCAGCGGGACAGGTTGCAGAGCTGGATTGCTATGGTACAGAAAGTAAGGAAGGAAGCTCTCATCGTCCAGGAAACTGACACAGAAACTGAGACTGGCCCACAGCCACATCATGTAACAATTCTTCAGCTAAAGAAGGAACTAAAGAAATGCCAGGTATTTAATTATAAGTTCATTATTTAAATAACTAAGTGAAAAAGCAATCTGCCAAAACTTGAATTCAAGTCTGAAATATGTATAAAGATGTCACCTGACAGTTTGACAATTTAAACTTAATTTGCAATTTTGTATCATTTTGTTTGGCTAATCTCTGGGACATAGGTTTATTTTAATGGATCATGGAAAACACAGTCATCCTAATGATGACAGAGGTAAGTAAAAGTAATGGCTAATCAGTTTCAAGATGACTCTGGGGCTGAGCTGTTTCATCTGATAGATTTTTATTTTTAGCTATGCTGATATGCTAGGTCTGCCTGGGATGAAGTTAATTTCTTTGTAGCAGCTCTTAGAGTCCCATGTTTTAGATCTGTAACCAATAAAATGCTGATAACACACTAATGTTTTAGGTCTTGCTAAACAGTGTTTGCACAGCAACAGGCATTCTCTGTTTCTGGCTCTGCAACCCTGGTGAATAGGGTTTCCACACATATTGTGTGGAAACAAATGTCCCAAACTATCTAAAGAGATATTTCATGTCATACAACATCATGCTCAGCAATAAAAAGGGAGAATAGAATGTTTAGGGAGATTAGCTGTATTTTACCTGGGAACTGATTGAGCATCAGTCAGCCTTGGGAGGTGGTGGGTGATGGCCTTTGTGTCATTTGTTTTCTTTTACTTTCTCTCCTCCACTTCACCTTCACTTACTGAACGGTTTTTGTTTTGACACAGAAATTTTCTTGCTTTCATTCTTCCTTTGCTCTTCCCCCATCCCATTGGGGGTGGGGAGGAAAGAGAGAGAGCATTGGTGTGTGCTTAGCTACTTACTGAGGTTAACGCACAACAGTCTTTTTTGGCACCCAATCTGTGGCTGAAGGCCTTCAAGATAATAACAGATTTGATTTGAGTGTGCTAGATTAAACTTTTAGCTGTTACACCCGTTGTTATTTGAGTGAGTGCTACAGGTCACAAAGCTGTATATCTGCTTTGGGTGCTGACTTGTGTGTTTCCTTGAATAATAACATGCTTGATTCCTTTCTAGCTGTACAACAGCCTTCAGGAGACATTAATGACTGTTTTCAGATTTTCCTCGTTTTTGTGCTGTTTATCACTCTGTTTTCCATGGGAGGCCTATGAAAAACACATCAGCCATCAGCCTAATTTGGTATTTGAGTCTTGCACTGGGGGTGTTCCAGTACACCAAGAACCAGCAACTATACTTTTCCCCTCTTCTCTGAGAGACATTTTGTGGAGAGAGGGAAAAATGACATTTATCCCTTCCTCTCCTCCAGGATAGTTTTTTGATAGCCTTGAAGCCTATCTAATTTCCTTCAGTATCCTCTTATAACTAGACTGTTTATAGTGATGTGTTGTGATCCTGATTTCGATTATTGTTCATAAGGTTAAAGAGCTTACTGGGGATGCCACACAGGAACATTCTCTAAGGTGATTGATCCCTGGGGTATCAGTGTGTATGGGAGGAGTTAGGAAGGTGCATAGGGTCACTGCTGCCTCTGACAGCTTGGGATTTCATGCCTGAACAGGCTTATTAACCCATCAGACTAATACATCATTTGAAGGAGGGGAGGTGAAACACAGTGACTTGAAAAGCTGTGTCAGACCTGGCCCATGCCTTTGTAGTCATTGTCCAGTGCTCTTAGAAATGCAAGAGGTTTTCCTGATCTAAAAGCCCACAAACAGGCATTGAGGAGGTCTCTTGCTCTGAGGCCACACAAACAAAACACTAAACCAGAGACTGAACCCTCAGCTCTAATAATCGTTCCTGTAGTCAAGAAGAAACAGTGGAGGCAGAGGTCAGCTTAGTAAGAGAAGCATCATCTCCTGCTCAGAGGAGGAGAGAGGAAGAATCAGAAGAGGCAGCCTGTTCTGCAGCAGGACAGGAAAGCAAAGAAACAGAAATAATAAAGAGCTGGAAGATACTTGATCCCTATCCACGACCAAGCTGCAAGATGAGCGTAAAGATTTTGTCTGACAGCAAGAGGAGCTAACTGCTACCTGTTTGCTCCAGAGATGCAGTAGTAAGGTTAACACTCTGGAACTAGAAGGTAGGGAAACAGCAACTGGGATCCATTGCTGGGGACTGTGGGATTGACAGAGGGATCAGAAGAGGGTCAGCCACCTGCAGCCTCCAATGGTGACTCTTATTGAGCTTTTCCTAACCTGTATTTCTTCAGCAATATTCTCACAAAAAAATTCCTGTATTTAATTTTCATTACCCTGCCTTTAAATAACTGAGTTTCTAAATTATTTACAGATTTCTTTGTGTAATCAGTTTTCTAACACTTACTTTTGTGTTAAGTATCAACTCTTGCTTTTTGGTGGCATCATATTTCTTTATGGTTTTCTAGCTGAGGTGAGAATTTCAAAACAAGATATGTGAGTCTTAACATGCAGATGTCCCATAAAGGTCCCTACCTGTTGCTAGTTCTAATTAGCTGTTTCTCAGACAGCAGAAAGTAGTCCCAGGCAATGACCTATGGGGAGAAGAGCTCTCAGCCTTCTCAAGCATGATAATGTCTCCTGGCAGAACTGAAACATGATCAAATAAATAAATCTTCTTGAGAACAGCCCCATATACATTTAGGAAGTCCAAATTTTGGATAAGCTGAGTTAAAATGTTGATTATGAATAACAAAGTGTAAGAAATAGTGCAGATTATTGTATGATAAACAGTCTCAAATTAATTTTATAACTTTAAACAACTGTAAACTAGTTGGAAACTGAAGTTCTGACATAAGATGAATGCTAGAAAAACTAATTTGAGTCTGTTGTGTAGTGGAAGGAGACAGTGCTCCAACAAGTTAGAATTTTGTAACATCAACCCAGTTTTAGTTTGCACACCAAACTGCCATGTCTGTAGACTGTTATCAGGCAATTGCATAAACAAATGTTGTCTTTTCTTTGTTCTCAAGCAATCTAAGTCACAACTTTTTCCTTACTTCTTGATTGCCCTCTGTGGCTTATTTTAACCCCCTGTTTCCAGGTTCAAAACAGTGTAAGAGCTTAGCTTAAACTTAAATTTCCCCAGGAGAATATGCCATCCACAGCCAGGAGGAGATGGTTAAGGAAAGGCTAAAATATCTGAGACAGCACAGATTGTAGAGCAGCATTTATGTATGGCAGATTTAATAGCTAATAGTGGACCCATTCTTGCGTGTACATACCCTTTTCTTTTCTAACAGCTATGATTGCCTGTATAATACTGTCTTACACGAAATTAAAATACTGGCATAGTGAATTGGTCATAGCTAACAGCCAAACTAATTTGTGCCTCCACCAGCAGGACTCATGGAGGAAAAAAATAGGAAGAACGGGAATGAGAAGATGTGTGGGTTGACATTGTATTTCAATATTTTGCATTTGGCTTCTACAGGCTTCCTGGAAGAGTAACATTTGGAAGTCTCCTTCAATCAGTATTGGATTATTCATTCACAAGAACACCTGAAGAAGTATTTTTACAGTTTCTTTAAGCTGTTATCTGAGTTTCAGAATGAGAGCAGCTGTTCTTATTTTTTCATTTGACGGAGGTATTAATCACAAGATGCTGAGATCTTGTGTCTGCATGTAACAGCGCGCTAAGGAGAATAATTGAATTCAGATATATATTTCAGTAAAGGAGGTTTGGTTATGAGTAAATTATTCCCACTGGAAGAATGAAACTTGTCAGAACAAAATCAATAGATGAAGTGAAAAAGTAACTGGTAGGAATGGCAGATAACCACTTAGACAATTTGCCATACATACTTCAAAATTTTGCAGTTCTGATCATGGCTTTTAACAACAAATGAGGTTTTCATTTATTTTGATTCATTTTCCAACTTTTCCATTTTCTTCCCTTTTCCCCAGCTGAACTTTTCTTGTATTATCTAGCAGGCACTAGTTATGGATGAAGAAGTATTCAGTCAGAAGGATCGTGAAGTGGAGACACTACAGAATCAGATAAAGACATTACTACAGGAAAATGAAGAACAACTGGAATCTTTAAAGGAGGCTCAAGAAACACATAGATTACAGGTATTTTTCCACTGGTACACATGTATCTGTATTGAACCCTCCTTCCACTGCGTGAATTCATTCAACAGGTCCCTGTATTTTTTTTTTTTACTTAACTACCAGTCAATATTAGAAACATTTTGATTGAATTAGAGCTGTATCACTTAATGAGTTGGGTTCATCCTCTGGGTGAACCACAATAATGTGATTCCTGAAGTCTGTATAACCTGAGATGAATCATTCACTCTCTCCATGCTTCCTGAAGCATAACACATAGCCCTCTCCCCAGATGTGTATTATTGTTAAGTAGTTTCAGGACAAGTAATGAATTAGAATTTGAAAGACTTTGAAAGATTCTTTAGACTCTAAAAATTACTGTAAAGGTCCTACAGAATGCCTTAATTGAAAGACTGCATAGAAACTTATTTTGTTATAGCTTTATTAAGAATTAGAGTATTATTCCCTTTTGACTTTGTAAGCCAGAATTCCATCCTAACTTTCTGATCTTTCACTAATAGAGAAAACTGAATGACATAATGGAAAGTGACATAGTGACAAAGAGGATGCTTGTCTCTTTCCTTCTTGTCCTTGCTAATGGAATTAAGATGGCTTTCATGTGCCTAACATTTTAAGATCAAGAAGACCACAGATAGAATAGTTAACATTTTCCTGGTGTTGCCTGTGACATGGATGTCAGATAAATTATTATATAACTTTTTTAAAAGAGAAAAGCATAAACATGGATAGCTAGTGCTCTTCTCCTTATTATACTTTTTCTCCTTTTTCCTCTTCTTTAATGATGGCTTGGGGATAGTCAATGAATGAAAGGTAAGTATACTAGTCATCATCTTTTTCTTTCTTCTGTCACTGTCTTTCTTTTCTGTCACCTTTGCTTATATTTTTATTTTAAACCTGTACACCATAGTGTCAACTAACACTGTGATAATGCATATATAAATTCTGGAGGATATAAGGTAATTAACTGAATCTGTAACAGTGTAGGTAAAAGATCATGACTCTTTCAGTATCAGAGACAGCAGAGAAGCTTGGGAGCTTTCAAGCACCATTTTGGTATTTATTTCACTAAACTACCATTTCTATGTAAAAACAGATAGAATAATGAAAATCAAGTACTTTTGTCAAATATTTTAATTTGTATTCACAGGAATATGTAATTTAATGATACATAATAGAATAAAAACTTTAAAAGTAACAAGTATTAGTTTGTAAACATACATATTTATGACTTGGGTGTTACACTGTGGGGTTGTATGTACAATACTATCAGGGACAAAGATTCTTAAAAGGGTTAAATAATAGCTTCTAGTTAATCAGTTAGCTGTTGCTGCTTCCAAAATTATAATAAATGTGATATTCATACATATATTCTACTTCCTATGACATAGGAATAATATTTATTGTATTCCAAAACAATGTCAATATGTAAGGCATTGTGTAGGGGTTAACAGCGGGTCTGTTAGCTCCCTGGAAGAGGAGATTGACTTGGGAAACTTTCAAGTGTGGCCTTGAAAATAAGTAAGTTTTACCATAGGCTAATTGGGGAGTAAGGGTGGACTGTGAGATTTGGTATGTAAGAACCGCAGGCTTGTCCTTGGACATCTCCAGGTGTCTCACAATTGCTGCCAAGTGTATCAGTAATGATGAGTGGCCAATTAGGATGTTGTTGCTTGCTTGCTACTTGCTTGCTGCTTGCTCGCTGCTTGCTTGCTGCTATTTGACAGGGATATTAAAAGAGCTGGGATTTTTAATAAGGGAGGCCTTTTCTTATGTTGCCCTGAATCAGCCTTCTTGTGTGTATTTTATTGGACCATCATGACGTAACGGCAACAGCACTGTATGTTTGTGTTTGGAAGGAACTTCCAGTCTAAGAGAACAACATAAGAATGAATAGAAACTTTTACTCAAATTGGGAGAACGCAAAGTGTATCATGAGCTATTCTTCAATTTTTCTATTGTTGCAAGGCCAGATTTTAAATTTTTTTAAAAAAAGAGTCAAAAGGAAGAGAGTGAATTGAAAATGTATATAGTCTTGGCCTTGTGGATAAATCAGTTTAGATAACATAAATACTTTTGAACAACGTACAGCAAATGCTGTAGGAGAAGCAGATAAGATCTCCAAACTATCATTATCAACAAAAGCTGAGGCTGGGTGGAAGAAAAAAGCAGCAAGTGATCCTAGGATCACGTACATGTTTATGTTTATTTATACAAATAATCTTTAAAGTGGAAGTGCTCAAAGAGGAAGAGGAAGCCCATATACATGTTTAATTCATAAGACTCAGACCATGTGTTTCATTTGAACATTTCTGTTGAACTCCCCTTTCTCCATAAACACCTATATAAAGGAAGTTTGAGCTGCTAATTATGTTGTCCACCTCTCACTAGATGCCTAGATAGGCTCATGTAACTTAACTGGGATAGATTTTTCTTTAAAAAAAGTGTCTAAAATTTATTGGTGTTGTTATGTGAGTTGATTGATGATATGTCATAGCATTTTCGATTTTTTACAGAATTTGCCTGTGCCTGGCAGAATAATTTAGGGTCAGTGAGTGATTTACAAGATTCATGACCTTTGTATGGAATTTAGAAATGGTAAATATGATACAGAGCTCACTTTTGCTTTGTTTTTTTTTTTCTCATGAGACTGAGAAAATGGTAGAACAGCAAATGCTTATTGATCAGCTAAAAGAGAAATTAGAGAAGATTACAGATGTGAAAACTTTGGATACCTCAAGTGCTTGTGAAGATGGGCCAACATTTGCAAGGAGGCCCTACAGTGTCCCACTCACAAAAAATCTGCTACACTTCCTTCACCCACCTTCAGGTACAGAGACCCAAAAGGTAAGGTCTACCCAAATGTTACATTTTTTCCCCTCTGCTTTGTAATGCTTATGGGCAAATAATTAGCCATGACATGACAGTAGCTTTCTCAGATACTGCTTAGCTTCTCATTAAAGACTCTGAAAAATTATTGTCTTGCAACAATCGCTATGCCATAATTAGCCAAAATATTCAGACTTAAAATTCCTACTTACAAGTGCTAAGGCTCTAATATTTTCTGGTGTTTTTCTGGGCATTTTGAGGCTTCAAATACAAAACATTAACAAACATGAATTATTATTTTTACCACTATATTGAATATGTGGAATAACAAGTTGCTAACAGTGCCTTCTTTCACATTTGAAGCTCTTGCAAAACTTTGTTACAAAGGTATTCAGAGTTATTAGGGAAAACCTCTAATTTTGCTTACAAGTTCAGGTGATGTCAGAATTTTAAATTGAAATATTTTTTTAAAAATCTCAGTAAAAAATTACTAAATTGTTACAGCTGTTTTTACCCATCACTATTTTTGTGTGCTTTCTGGCAGGTGCATACCGGCCCCCGTGCCTTCTCACTGGACAGGATAATGGCAGAATTCCATGCTCGCAGACAGATGATACTGAGCAAAATAGAAGATCAGGATAAAGTCCTTCACTGCCACCTCTCTGATCAGAGTGATGAAGAGGAAGAAAATACAGGCAGCAAAGAGAAAACCTCATTTAAGTAATTTTTTGTTGTTCTATAACTTTTGTTACAGACAAATCTATAGGTATAAAGGTAGAATTACTGCCTGATCCTGCCATGATATGAGACCGTCTGTAATGTTACTTGTGGTAAACTTGTGGGACCAATGGGGGCATATTGCAAAATAAGTTTAATAAACATAAGTTTAACAAAGATTGCATAATCCTTGGTTTGAGGCCGGAGTCTACCATGAAGATTGGGGAATGGGGTGGGGATGATGTGTCTGTGGGTGGTGTGGAGCATAGATGGGAAAGAAGGTATAAATGCCATGTTAAGTTTGGAATTCTCCTCTGTTAGGATCATATAATTTGCATGAAACAAATTATATCCCTGTGTATTTGCAGTTTAGCATGTTTATCATTCTTCCTTAGGCATTCCATAAACCAAACATGGACACAAAATCAGGTTTCTCTGTGCTCTCCTCCTGATCTAAGTGATGTGAAATGTCAAATAAACAAGCCTGGTTTATCCAACAAATTTGCACTACAGATTGACACAGCCACAGGTAAAATGGAAGTCATAAGAGCAAATCTTATTACAGTATCAGCATATGCAAGAATGTCTTTAGCACGTGTAACTATTTTTTCCAGCAAAATGTGTGTATTTGATACAAATATTTTTTTACTTACAGCTCAATGTAGGCTTTCAAGATTCTATTCTTCTTTCCCTTTCTGAAACTGATGTCAGTAGCTTTAGTGTTTACGTAATATTTGTCATCCAGAAAGCTAGTTAGATATAATCCTTGTACTTCTTCAATGAAACAAAGTGGATTCTCTTATCTTACCAGAAATGCACTGAAATGCTTTCAGAAATAGTTTTCCTCACATTTAGAATCTTGAAGTGCATATGTTTCTTTTTGTGTTTAGACACATAGCAGGGAGAAGACTGTTGGTGCTATTCTCTCCTGTTGATTCTTATACTTCATGTGGAAGCACTCCCCACAGATAGTGTTCCAGAGCAGTACCTTTTGGATACAGCATGTATTCCAGATTTTTTATCTTCATTTTGCTTTGGTTTTTTTTCAAGGTGAAGAGATTGACAGCCTCCAGAAAATTCATGGTTTTAACATGCAGAATTTGAAGATCTCAGAGTTGAGATTCACTGAGGCCAAGCAAAAAATAAGAGAACTTGCACTTAATATCAAAAGGAAAGAGGAACTTATTAAGGAATTAGTAAGAACAGGTAACTGGCTACTATAGGGATAATTGGAGTGAAGATATTTAGAATCAAAAGAAAAGCCACAAAAAACTTGAAGTCCTGCATGTCTTAATTTTTACATAACTATGTAAGCTCAGTGCTACTGATCTCTTCATGGATATCTATTTGTCATATGTTGTCTGGGATAGGAGAGAAAATACATCGCTGTATCATCTGTATTTTATCACAGTAGAGAAACAGGAGTTGGAAGTGGATGAGGGAAAATGTCAGTGTCCCTGTTAGCCTACGTGGCTTACACATCTGTCTTTGCTCAGCTCCTTCAATCACACTCCTCTCCTATGCTTTCCTTCTCTTGCCAGTGTCTTTTGGCACTGAGGAAGATTCTGTGCCCCACCGCCAATTGCCCAAACGGGACAAGTCACAGAGTAGAAACACTATCCAAGGTTTTTTTCTAATTATTAAGCTTAAAGCTGAGTAATAAACAAATGGCATATTCTGGAAAAAAACCCACACAGATTTAGGAAATACAGGGATCCATTTTGGCAACACTACAATAGGCAGAAGAATTTAACTTTGGTGGTCAGGTGGCACTTTATTTGGTAACAGGTGACTTGTGAAAAAGTCATATATAAGACCCCTTCCTTTATGTCCATTTCAGAGTTACAAAGGAACTGCATGTTCCTTTAGTGTTGGAAATTGTATCAGAAATTACCGATTTAGCCAGAACAAAGTAAGGAATGATTCAGCTACAAAACTGAGTATTACATTTCAACTGATTATCTTGTAGGTTTTAAACTATTTGAATATGCTGTCTTTAAGGTAAGGATGCTCAGTCTGTAAGTAGGCAATATTCTTTGAAGATAACTAAACTGGAGCAAGAAACTGAGCAGGCCAAAATGGAACTGGCTGAAACACAAAAGCAGCTTCAGGAGCTGGACAGTAAAGAGGTGAGAGACGTTCCTGAGAAAGTCAAGTTACAAAAAGAGTTCCAGAAGAAGATGGATGCAGCTAAGATGAAAGTGCAGGTATTTCTGATCTGTATCTCTAAAATATCTGTATCTCTATCTCCTTGTCATATCTGAACCTTAACACTTTGCTTGTAAAATTCTCACCTGTTTCGCACATTTAGAAGTTGGCTGGATTGAGGTAGCTAATAAAAACTTAATACGATTATACTCAGAATGCTATTTAACATATACATGGTTAGATACATACAATATTTTCTTGGTAGGTAAGAAGCCATAAAAGAAGTGGGAGATATAGGATGTCCATACACCATTGTATGTAGTATCATAAAAGAACCTATACGAGGAGTCTATTATAAATTTATTACCTGTCATAAATAAAATCAATGTTTTATGAAAATACAATATAAATTCCAACTCTAAGTAAATTCATTTGATAGTTTCCAAGACCAGGCCCAGTACAGCCATACTTGTTTGACACTGACCTTCTATTTTTAAGTTCTGTTACGCCTAAGTTTAAATTCTGTGTAGGACCAGCTTAGGTGCTCTGTGCCTCGATCCTAGAATGGTAGTCAGAAATTTCATGTGGAAAAAAGTAGTTGGCTTGTGGGCCTGAGCTCAGAACCAGCATTCTGGTACCGTTATGTCTCTGCACATTTTCTAGAGCTGTTAGATTTTATTACTTTCACTGTACTGCTAGGCATGAACTGTATTTTACCTTTTTTTTCTGCCTGTGCAACTTTACCAGATAGCTCAGAAATCACAGGAATATCAAGTGATTGTTTGGGTGGAAGTTAGTAAGTCTTGCTGACTCTAAAAATTCAGTAAAATAAAGACTGAAGTTGAATCTTAGTTATAAGTTTTCCTGGTATTAACTAAAATTTGACATGAACATTCAGACCTTACAGAAGAAGCAGCAAGACATTAAGAATTTGGCTTCCTTATCTAACCAAAGTGTGAGAGAAGCAACAGAACTTGAGCAGAATGTGGCTCAGATGAAGCATCAGCAATCCCAGATGCAGAAGAGACTGTATGAGGAGAGTGAAAAAAAGAAGCAACTAGAAGTGGAACTTCAGCAGAACCAGCAACAAATTAAGGCAGGATTTTTCCTGTTTCTTTATGACAAAGAATGAGACACCCTGCTTCCTCAAAGACAATAAACTATACCGTCAGGCTTTCAAATATTTTCAGTAATAACTTAATAACTTTCTTGACAAATGCACTTAAGATTTTGTCTATAAACATTTTCACATAAATCTTCAGTTTGCCTTTTGCTTTCAGCTTTTTTTTTTTCCATTTTATTACATGATGTCCAGTTCTGAATAGCAATTTTACAGATAAATTTAGGGTCAGTATTTCAGATTATATACTTATGTGAACTCTGACATTAAATGCATTTGACTGATGCAGGAGGAATGGTGTTTTTTGTTTGTTCATAGGAACTTCAACTTAAGATGGAGCAACAACAGAAGATCCTTGAGCTGAAGGATAAAGAAATTGCTGATTTCAAAAAGAAGAAAAATAACTCTATGGGAACTCCACAGAAACTACAGGTAGTTAATCTATTCCAAATATGTGTGAGCCCTGATATAAAATAATCTTTTTTCACCCCTAGTCATATATCTTTGTGAACTATTTGGAAAAAGAGTGCTCCATCATAGTTTTGTCTTCTTTTTTGCTGTAGCAAAAAATGGCAATATAGTCTAGCATCTCTTTTACTCTTTTTGAATGAAAGAAAGAAAGAAAGGAGGGCCTTAAAAGTCCTTTTTTTTTCTCCCAACAATTTGTCAAAAATGCTGATTCAGAGACCCAAGAGTTCAACAAGTTTGGCTTTCTAGTAGGTTTGAGGGTGATCTTGTTGTGCAATGTTATAAATGCTCCATGGGTTGTTTGGACATTTTATTTTGTTAGGTTTTCTACTCTGACATAAATTACTGTGATCTCTGATTTTAGTTGTTCGTAACACGGCTAGAAAAGTATGTATTCTATGCAGTGGTGCCACCTACATTATTTCAATGCGGACACTGGAACCTGAGTTACCTAAAGTCTTTAAAGGTGAAGAGAAGTTTTAAAAGTTAAATAAATGCAACTGTTAAACCCTGCCAGGAATATATCCACTGATAAACTGTGCTTTCAGAATAAATTTTTAATGGACCACACTAACAAGATCAGAGATGCCATTTACTGTCTTTAATTCTTTCAACATCACAATTTCTTGTCACCTAATGTTTTTTCCACAAAGAGCTGCTCTTGGGCAACTATAATGCAATGATGATGGGCTAGCTGACCTCTCAGGGTACCTTCTAAACCTATTTGCTGTGCTTAGGTAGATGACATCTATTTATATAACTGTTCTAAGAAGAAAAATATCTTTTACTTAAATGCATCTGATACAAATTTGTTTATATGAGATGTAGCAATATAACATTGCTGAGTTCCTTGTTAAGTCAGTCCAGTTTTTTTATTATTTTTAATTAAGATATTGTAGCAGAATTAAAGTTAACATTAGAAATGTCAATGTCTGCTACAGCTTTATCCTTTATCAGTAATTATAGAAAAGGTAAATATAATAATAAAATTCTGAACCAAAAGGTCCTGGCTAATGCTCTCTGGATCTCTATTGAAACTTTAGAAATTAGAAGAGCAAAAGAAGTGGTTGGACGAAGAAATGGAAAGAATTCTTCAACAACACCAACAGTTAGCAGAACTAGAAGAAGATTTAAAGAAAAGAGAAGCCATTGTAGCCAAAAAAGAAGCGTTATTACAAGAGAAAAGCCACCTGGAAATCAAGAAACTGAGATCTAGCCAGGTAATTTAAGAAAATTAGGGCGGGGGGGAGGGGCAGGGAAGACAGACAAGATAGTAGAGGAGGCTCAAGTCAAGTGACCAGTGTCTTTAAAGGTGATGTAGATATCGTGTGGCTTGACCAATCAACACTTAAAATATAAATAACACAGACAATCATTTTTAATCACTTTTTCTCCCTGAAATTGCAAATCAAACCAAACCAAACAGTTCTGTACTGTGGAGTTCTGTTAATGCAGAGCATTAACTAATATATCCATGATATCTTATTATTTATGAATATGACTCAGTCCTTTTGCAAGCTAGAGAACATGACAGGGAGATACCTTGCAATATTTATTTTTCAGTAGCAAAACTGAATTGAGCTTGAAGTATTGTCACTTATAATGACTAGTCCCTTTAATTTTTAGTATGTAGAAAACTGCACCTTGAGTGGTTTTGTTTTCTTTCATCTTTTGTGTATCTTATGGTAGCTGTCTGCTCAAAATAAATGGGGTTCCACTACAAGAAGCAAGCAATTTTATCACTTTAGTTTCACTTATTTTTTTCTTATTCAAAGGGAGTATCTCAATCCTATATCTGTGGTTGCTGTGGGTTTTTTTTAGGCATTAAACAAAGACAGTATGAAATTGTCTACTCGCTTAACTATACTGGATCAGGAGCTGTGTGATAAAAGTATGGAGCTTCAGAGCAGCACCACTGAAGACAAGACAGACATTTTGGAAAAAATTCAGGTTCTCCACGTGGAAAGGGATCAGCTGCTCAGAAAGAGAAACAGTGTGGATGAGAAACTGAGAGATGGTAAAGTGTTGTCAGCTGAAGTAAGTAAGCACCTCTGAGATAAATATTGGTTTTAGCTAGTGTTGGATAATAAGGCATTCCAATCAGAACCCAAAATGTCTCCAAATATTAGGGGTTAGAACTAAGGAACTGAGGCTGGGCATTTTTGTAAAGAGCAGTGTTAGAATACTGCTGTGATAGCACCAATTACATGCTGGTGAACGAAGTTGAGGTTCAGAGAGACTTAATTCAGATAAGTGGCCTGCCAAGTCTACTGGTCTAAGAATCATATGAGCATAAGGGAACTAGAAGATCATGAGTTTATCACAGGCAGGTATTTTAATGTCATGACACAGAACAAGCAATGTGCTCACATAATGACATCCCCTGAATATTTTCATAGAATTTTGTGGAATAACAAACTTGACCTGAAGGACTCCATATTTTTACAGCAAAAATAAGTCATATTACCTGGATGGCCCACACTTGAGTTGACTGAAATCATTATGCTGAAGATGTAAGAAATCTGAGTGCTTCAGGCCACACATTTCTGCCACTTCCCTACACAAGTTTTGGTCAACAAACTCCTTACTGACCTGTAAAAACTACCATAACAAAAAAAGAAAAATAAAAAAAAAATAGCAGAAGTCAAACTATAGTGAGGATGAGGAAAGGATAAAAAGGGGAAACATGACATCTGGTTTTCATCTGATCAATCTCTGTATTGTGGTAGTAGTACTATGTCAGAAAAAGACAAATGTTCTAGACTTGCACTCTACCTCTTGTTTTTCCTGACCCATTGTCTGTGCTACTATCACTTCTTCTTACCCTTAAGTTTAGTTTTGTTCTTGAGAGTGAAGTTAAAGATGTCTTGAAAGAATAATTCTAAGCTTTTTTTCTTAAAAAAAAATCTCACGCATGTTTCTCTGTAGGAAGAACATGTCCTTTTCCAGCTAGAAGAAGGAATTGAAGTTCTGGAGGCTGCTATTGATTACAAGAATGAAAGTATTTATAATCGCCAGCACTTGCTTAGGTCCTCTTCTCAGAGTCTTTCACAGAGTGAGAATAACGTAATAGGGAAACTAGTTTCCCTGTCTGCTGCTGAGCTCAGAGCTATTATCATCAGTTATTTCAACAAGGTTTGTTTTGGCTAATAAATAATATTTTATCCCATTTTATATTATTGTTCTACAAAATGAAGTGGTAGCAAGAAGTAAAAGTAAATTTAGGAAACTTTTGGTGAAAATCTCTTCAGGTTACATAGATCTGCTATTAATTCAAGTATTTTTAATTTTTATGTTAATGTAAATAATATACTTGTGTGTTAACTTTGTATATCTTGTTTTGAGGTCATTAGCTTGAAAGGTGCAGCAAATCTGGGTATTTCCTTCCCCCTTTCTGTGTTGCTAACTTTCAGAGCAGCAGCATATTTAAGTAGTGGTGTTGTTTTGGAATTCTTCCCAACTGCAGGCTTTTAGAAAGCTTCATAAAGCTTAGGCTAATATTTCTATTTTTTTTTTTTTTCTAAATTCAGTATGAACTAGTTTTGCATACACTTCCTGCAGTGTGTACAGCTACATACTGAAGAATTATTCTGATATCTGGAAACATATAAATGAAATGCATTAGGATATGGTGTGTCTTTGTGACCTTGGATGATTTTGTAAATAAGTTGTCTGCGGGATACAAGTTGGAAGTTTTTCAGAATCAGGAAAGCCCTGTTGTTTCAGTTTAAATTTTGTATAGGGTATTAAAAAATCCACTAGTCCATGTGATCAAAATGTGCACAGTCCAGTTCTAAAGTGTCAACTGGTAGCAATGGCAAGTCTGTTTCCAGCATAAGCTTAATGGCTTGTAGAGATCATTGGTTTTGTATGTTTTCATCTATTACGCTGAAGGGTAAAAGGTTTTCTTAAAATGCTTTGATAAATCAAAATAAGTGTATTTCTTTCTTAGATCGTTGGCCTACGTGAGTCTGAACGAAAATTACAACTGCAGATTGAAGAACAGGAAATGAAGGCCATGGACCGAGAAAACATAATACGCGAATTAGAATCAGCGCTTGGACACATCAAGTCACAGTGTGACAGGCAGCTCACCCTCCAGCGCAAAGAACACCAGAAAAAATTACAGTTGCTATTGCATAATTTCACAGGTATCTGCTGCTTGAAAGGGACCATACAGCAAGTATTGTCTTCAGTCACTACATAGAAATACTGTATTCCAACTGAAAAAATATAAGAATAAGGTTCAGAGATATATTTTGGCTGTCACTAATTCTGATGTCATGTAGGATGCCGAGGAACAGACACATGGTGTGTGCGTGAGCGGAAAACTGAATCTTTTTTAAAGAAGTATCAGAATTCTTGTATTCTCCTACTGAATTTACTGATACTGGAAAGTAGAAATATACTGCTCCTGCTGATCTTAATCTTCTATATGCTATTAAAACTGACAAGAAGGGTTGACATGGCCTTTTTGATCCTGTGTCATTCTAGTTAAAATGTGCACATTGCAAGCAAAGTGCCATCAAGATACAAGACATACTCTATCTAGCTCGGCATCTTGATTTCTGACATTTGGTTCTTAAACTAGTTTTATTTCTCCTAGAACAAGACAGTGAAGGTATTGCAGAAACCTTGAAAGGGTATGAAGTAAAAGTCCAGCAACTGGAAAAGGAATTATTTTTCTATAAGAAAACCAGCAGAGAGATGAAGAAGAAATTGAAGGGCCTTTTCGGAGAGTCATCCCATCAAATATTGTCATCCAGTAAATGTGAGCATATTATCTGAAAATGTTCATGCAGTTGTCAGTAGACTATCTGAAGAGTAGTGAACATACAGAAGTATATCAGATAGCTGTAAGTGTCATTTTTTTTCTGAACTAACTGTTCTTCAGGAATATATTACACGTCTCAGTTTCATGGGAGAGACAACACTGATTTATAGCTTTGGCAGTGGTATGACAGTGGTTTAAATTTTTGTTCTGTTTTCCCTGGATTTTAATATAATTTCAGCATCTACAACCTAAAATTATTATGGTTAAGACAAAGGAATTTTGCTATCTGAAAGAGTCTGAATGGTATTTTAAATAACGCCTTTGTTATATATCATGCACTTTATATATAAAAAGTTACTCTACGATTGTCAATGAAAACTTCCATGCTTTCACTTACTAACTAGTTGGTTACTTACTAAATCTGAAAGAGAGGATTTACATACTTGTAGGGAAAAAAAAGTGCTTTCTAATGTGATTCTCTGCTTTGACATAAAAAACCCTCAACCAACTGAAAACAACCAAAAAACACCAACAGTTGCTATAAGTTTTTAATTGTTCTTTGTCCTACCTGCCAGAATCCAAACCTACAACAGAGCTCTTCACATGGAGGTGAAAAGAAGATTCAACTTCATAGCTGTTTCGGTTGCCTCATACCTCTCAATGACACCACAATACCTCTCATGCACAATGCAGCCTTCTTGGCCCATGTTTCTTTCTCCTTGATGCTCAGCAAGATTGGTCCTTCCTCCAATTAATGCTTCTGTTTCTTTACACTCTGACAATGCTGTGCCTTCTACAAAGAGATGCCAACCACTTCCCTGCTACTCCCAGAGTGAATTAAGTCTTGGATCTTGCCCTCTGGGCAACACATTCGTTACCATAAAGAACATCATCAAACTATGAACATGAACATGAACATTCCAGAGACTGGATTACAAATGAGGTGGGAAAGACTATTTTGTGTCTAGTATACAAAGAAGCATGTAGTTCAGGACAGTATATCCATGTCCTGAATATCACAGGAAAACACCTATCCCAGGCAAATTGTAACAACAGAAGGAAGGGAGGTGATGGCTGTGAATTTCCAAATTTTTCAAATGCATATATTTGCAAGTTTTATAAGAAATACTCTGTATTTAGTTATTTTTCTTTTCAATACATTTTGAGGCATGTTGCTATATCATACAATAAGAACACTTTATAATTTGTTACTATGCTTTAGAAATAATAAAATCCCTTTGTGCATATTGCCGTCAAATTTGCAGAATGTGTTTTGTGTGTTGTACTAGTATAATTGCTGACTTTTTTCCAATGTATGAATAATTTCAATTTGTGTCATGGTTCAGTCACTTCAAGACTGCCTACTAGGATACAAGTTAGAATGGTAAGGTTTTTATTAACAGCATCTTCTCAGATGAGAGTAATGGCTAATACCTCTGATGTTTTTGTAGATGGCAAACTCTTTGAACAGAAAGGACAAAATGTGAGGTGCTGATAATTTCTTACCATGTTCATGTTACAAGTTACTGATGCTATAAAACCATATTGACTACCTATGGCAGGCACTCAGAAGAGTAACTTTCAGCTATTTATCTCCTGATAAATATCATTTTAGATAACAGTGCTGGTGATGAGTTATCCTGTCAAGAGGAAGCAGAAATTGCTTCTGAAGATTTCAAGTGAAAACAGCTATTAAAAGTTCTTATATTTATTAACTACTTCTTTAAAGCATCAGAAAACTCCCAATCTGTTAGCCTGCTCACTGTACTTCAAGCAAAGAACAAAAATAGTAATAAACTAATTTAATATAATTCTATGCTGCTTTACTGGATTTTCTTAGAATGTCAATTCCTCGAAATTTTTGGGGGGGTTTTGCTTTAGATACTATCTATACACTGCTATAATGGACTGAAAATAGGGCAAGAGATTTTTCTAGCTAGTCTGGTGTGTAGGAATACCATGTAACTGTTAATGAACAAACCCTTCTGTTCCTGCTGTGTTTTAGCATATGGTGAATCTGATTTCCTATTTCAGCTATATGTAATAGGAGAAGACATAACAAAATACAGGACTCCATTCTTGTTACACTGCAGCTTTAAAGGAACTTCTCTTAGTTGTGACGAAATACTGATTTTTTTCACCACTTCAACATTGGACTGAATCTACAAAAATTCCTAGCAATATGTAGCTCATAAATGCAAGGAAAGATGAGTAGAATTTAAAAACAAATAGGATGAAGATAGGTAGTTGGTAACAATAGTTTGTGGGTGCCCCATCCCTGGAAGTGTTCAAGGCCAGGTTGAACAGGGCTTTGAGCAACCTGACCTAGTGAAAGATGTCCCTGCCCATGGCAGGGGGGTAGACTTACATGTTGAAAGGTCCCTTCTGACCAAAACCATTCTACAATTCTAAGATTCTATTATCTGTATGCTGTTCATACCTACATGAGTTTCAGCTGCAAAATGTAGGCACTGACATATACAAATACCATGGCTAAAAAAAAGATCTTCCCTACCTGTTAGGTTTGGAGAGTGCCCTATGTTGTTCTTCAGAGCTTGCCTAGCAGTAAACGATTCCTTTTGTGCTAAAAAGACCAAGCTCAAATATTTCTTTTATCCCATGTTAACTGTGAATGCAATATGCTATAGAAATGCAGAATCGTTTGTGTAGCATTGAATGCAGTGTCAAATCCTGGGTCTTACTTATTTGGGGATAGTTCTCAAAGTGGAACATTGCAGAAGTACAAGTAGGAGCTGGCTAACTAGAAACAGATTAGAAAATCTCTGACCCAGGGAGCAAGCAGAGAACACAGAAGTTAGAGGGAAGGAACCAGAGAAGAGACTAAGTAAGAAACAAAGCAAAACACCCATAGGTCTAAAACCTACCCTTTGTTTTTGTTGTTGTTGTTTTGTGGTTTTGTTTTTTTCTGGCCAACTCTTTGAAAATTATTTCCAAATACCGTATCTTCAGGATGGTACTAGCACCACTTTTCAGTACTGTGAGCACTGTAACCACACAGAATAGGGTGTGCATAATCTTATCCTGAGAGACAGAACACTACGGGGTGACATGAAGTAATCTGTTTTGTTATCAATCTGATTCAAACTAAAACCCCTTTATTTGGGGAGGTGCAACTTTTCATTATCTGCTGTCCCACAGGAAATATTTTACCAAGAGTTACAAGACCAAGACTTATTTCTAATCAAATCATTGGTGCCCATAACTTTGACATGTGACTTCTTTTCCCACATATTTGTATCTGCAAGAAATTTTGCATTAGGAAATCCAGAATATCTGTCTTTTCCCAAAATCTAATCAACCTGTTTCAAGATATCATTAAATCACTAGATATTTAGAGAGAATAATTTGATGAATTGCTTCAGTTGTCTAACATCGAAAATCCAAAGGACTTCTGCTGCAGCCGAATTCAATTCCTTGTAGCATTGCAACTGATGTGGGAAAAGAACAAGTGTGACCAAAGAAAGGCTTAGCACATAAATATGCATGGAATAAGTTTTGTGTGAAACAAACAAAACCTCTAGAACAGGCAAAACCTGGAATTGCCTTCAGCCAGTCTTTGGTATTCCTATTTTAAAAGTCTCGGCAAGTCTTACATTCCTTTACTAAAAATGTCAGAGGGTTGGAGCCTACCATGCTGTATTACCCTTTTTTTAGTACCAGCTGAACAAATCTACTGAGAGCTTCCAAGAAGTCTACTTGAGTAGTCCAAGAGCAGACCAAACCAGAAAATCATATGATTCAGGCTACTGTTTAAGCAAAAAAGGACATTTGAGTCTAGAATTCAAAGCTACACATATATTTTAAAACAAAACAGTAACAGACATCTTGAATTTCCTGAGAAATAGGCATATTTGGGAAGAATACCTGACTTGGTGATATGAGGTTTGATTTGTGATTGAAGTTTTTTGGTGCAAGTTTGAGGAAAATCTGATTCCCAGCTATGGACCACTTCTGTAGCAACATTTTTAAAGTAGTAAATGTTTAGTATTTATTGCCTTTCTGCTTCTGCCAAATACCTTAAATGCATCAGGTGTTGATTTATTTCATTCATGTAGGTTCACAAACTGTGCCAAGTTAGTTTTCTTGAGTCTTCCAACACCAAGGCCCTCCAAGTCATGTCAGGTCCCCTGTTGTGTTACAGACCGGGACTCCTGCAAACCGCAGCTGCACTGTGGGCACCAGCACTCCCAGCTCCTGCCTGGGAGACTCCTGGTGACCTTCCCTGTCCATTTACTGAAAATCCAAAGCATGTGCCCCCTGCATCTGGCAATAAATGCTAAGCTTCCCATGGCTTGTGTCAGTGAGGGACTGAGCTGCCTGTGGGATGGGAGGGCCTGGCACAGCAGGAGAAGGGCGGCTGCAAGTGGGCGGTTTGTGTTGCTCAACAAAATCACCAGCAAAGGTATTGGCAAAGGCAGATTTATAGAAAAACAGAATATTCTGAGTTAGAAGGGACACTGTAGTGGTTTTGAATCTAGGCCTTCCTTGGTGATCAGGTTGTAACCAAGGAACCAAGGTCATGTTCCCAGTATTCCATACGATTTTACGTAAGCAAGAGTATAATTAAGGAGAGAGAGAGGAAGCTCTCGCTCTCTTTCTTCCGGCAGACCCAAGGTGGAGGTAGCTCTGCTGTCGCTCTGCCCGGGTGAGGGAGTGAGGCCTGACGTGTCTGGTTGGCCTTGAGAGGCGGACAGTGCTGTGGTAGCTGTGTGGTGTGGCTCGCTTCCTTTCGAGGGGAGTATTTAACTTTTTGTCCCTTTTTTGTCCCTTTTGTATCCCTTTTTGTCCCTTTTTCCCTTTTCCCTTTCCCTTCCCTTTTCCCTTTTGGGGAGTTCCCTTTGATTAGTAGTGTGTATATAGTTTTCTTTATATATATATATATATATATATAAATCTTCCATTTGAAATTTATTCGGTTTGGGTTCTTTTGGTTTTTTTTCAGTCGGCTGGGAGAAAGGGAGGGGGAAGGTTTTGTCTCCAGGGTCCAGGCACTTGGCTGGGAGCCAAGTCCAACCTGGAACATTTTTTGGAGGTTCCACCGAGATTACCAGTAGGTTGTTTTGGTAACAATTTCTGGGCAGGTGGCCAAGTTCTGCCAAACATTGCCTTTGTTTGGGAACAGTGCTGGGATTGCAGCCAAGAGGGATTTGTTTATATAAATATACCTCTTGTTTAAGAACAGTGAGGACAACGTATAAATAATGGCCACTTTCCTAATTTTCAATGTGCTTTTAGCAGCTTTTGCACCTGTTTCACGTTACTACATGTAGGAC